TATCTTTTTCTTTCTTTTTTTTTTTTTTTGAGTTGGAGTCTCACTCTGTCCCCCAGACTGGATTGCAGTGGCCGCTCCCGGCCACCGCAGCCTCGACCTGGTGGGCTCCAGCGATCCTTCCGCCTCAGCCTTCCAAGTAGCTGGAACTACAGGTGCACGCCACTACACCCAGCTAATTTTTTTATCTTTTTCTTTCTTTTTTTTTTTTTTTGAGTTGGAGTCTCACTCTGTCCCCCAGACTGGATTGCAGTGGCCGCTCCCGGCCACCGCAGCCTCGACCTGGTGGGCTCCAGCGATCCTTCCGCCTCAGCCTTCCAAGTAGCTGGAACTACAGGTGCACGCCACTACACCCAGCTAATTTTTTTATCTTTTTCTTTCTTTTTTTTTTTTTTTGAGTTGGAGTCTCACTCTGTCCCCCAGACTGGATTGCAGTGGCCGCTCCCGGCCACCGCAGCCTCGACCTGGTGGGCTCCAGCGATCCTTCCGCCTCAGCCTTCCAAGTAGCTGGAACTACAGGTGCACGCCACTACACCCAGCTAATTTTTTTATCTTTTTCTTTCTTTTTTTTTTTTTTTGAGTTGGAGTCTCACTCTGTCCCCCAGACTGGATTGCAGTGGCCGCTCCCGGCCACCGCAGCCTCGACCTGGTGGGCTCCAGCGATCCTTCCGCCTCAGCCTTCCAAGTAGCTGGAACTACAGGTGCACGCCACTACACCCAGCTAATTTTTTTATCTTTTTCTTTCTTTTTTTTTTTTTTTGAGTTGGAGTCTCACTCTGTCCCCCAGACTGGATTGCAGTGGCCGCTCCCGGCCACCGCAGCCTCGACCTGGTGGGCTCCAGCGATCCTTCCGCCTCAGCCTTCCAAGTAGCTGGAACTACAGGTGCACGCCACTACACCCAGCTAATTTTTTTATCTTTTTCTTTCTTTTTTTTTTTTTTTGAGTTGGAGTCTCACTCTGTCCCCCAGACTGGATTGCAGTGGCCGCTCCCGGCCACCGCAGCCTCGACCTGGTGGGCTCCAGCGATCCTTCCGCCTCAGCCTTCCAAGTAGCTGGAACTACAGGTGCACGCCACTACACCCAGCTAATTTTTTTATCTTTTTCTTTCTTTTTTTTTTTTTTTGAGTTGGAGTCTCACTCTGTCCCCCAGACTGGATTGCAGTGGCCGCTCCCGGCCACCGCAGCCTCGACCTGGTGGGCTCCAGCGATCCTTCCGCCTCAGCCTTCCAAGTAGCTGGAACTACAGGCACGCGCTACTACACCCAGCTAATTTTTTTATCTTATTGTAGAGGTGAGGTCTCGCCAAGTTGCCCAGGCGGGTCTCGAACCCGCGGGCTCAGGCAATTCACTCACCTCAGCCTCCCAAGGTGCAGGATTACAGGTTGAGCCACCGAGCCCGGCTACCTTTATTTTTCTAGAGACGGGATCTCACTATACTGCCCTGGCTGGTCTTCAACTCCTGAGCTCAAGGAATTAACCCTCTCGTCTCAGCCTCCCAAAGTCCTGTGATTATAGGCATAAGTCACCACACCCAGCCTTGGAACCATGTTTTTAAAGCATCCCTAACACACAGAACCAAATGCCCTGTAAATCATTGTGTATATGTAGCCACAAACATTCGTTCTGAATCCTTTTGGATGATCCAATGCTTCTGCTCAGAAATCTCCTCCCCAGGGACTTTAGGGCCTCTCTGAAATGCTATACTCTCATATTCATTTGAAAACTCTAACCTCAAAATAACCTATGGAATTCATTCCACCTTTGCTGCATAAAGGAGAAATCCTCCCCCACCAGCAAGGGCTATACGAAGTAACACACCAGTGGTTGGTCAAATTATGAATGCCAAAATTAATAGTGTAAAGTCTTTGAAAGTAAAGACATTAGATTAAAGCCACCATGAACATATTCTAAACAAACATTTGAATGTGAGGTCTCAACCACCTAATCACCTATGTCTGTGTGCGTTGACATGCATTAACGTGATTTCTAGAGAGAAAAGGGGAGAAATTCTCCTAAACTTTCCCTAGATTTCCAGTCTTCTCTAACTTTAAAGATCTGAGCCCTCGCCTCGCCAAGAGTATGAACATATTCCCAAGGAGAGAGAGAAAAATGTAGAAAGCTGAAGATCAGAGAAAGAAAAAAAGTGTACCGTCTTTGCTATCAAAACACTGTTCAATTCATTCCTTTGACAATCTGACAGTAATTGCCCTGAGAGGGACTGGATTTTGTTAAAATTACTTTAAAAGGGTTGTTGAGAATTTCCTGTAGGAGAGACCAGTGTGCAATGCACAAGTTTTGTTTGATTTTCCTTTGTTGTCCTCACAATCCTGAGAAGCTTGGAGTTCATTTTATTTTTGACAGCACAAAACCCTTGGAAAAACACCCTGAGTCCCACAAAAATCTCTGCCGCTTGCAGTCTCTGGGTCTGTTTCCCGCTGTGACCTGCCGAGTCTGTAATCCAAGCTGATTCATTCATGAGGTCGCTGCCTTTGCCATCTTAATGAACAAAGACACAGCCAGGCACACTTACAACTATCATTTCCCTAATGATGGCAGGGCGATGACACCTCAGGCTACACAAGAGTCTTGTCAGAAAGAGCCAAAAATAGCTTACAATTTCTGAATGTTCTCTTCCTGGTGGGTCTAAACCCAGAGAGTTCTAAGGCAGCGCGATCTCATGACAACATGTGTGACTAAGAATATGTTCGTGAAGAGGCTCTCATCTCAGTGAGGAAGGTTCAACCCGAGTGGTAGCTGGCAGAGGCTGGCTCTGAGATGGCCCAAAGTGTCCCCGGGTATAGACACGACAGGGCTGAGCTGCTTTTTCCACTGATCAGAAAATAAGTGGCTCTTGAACAGATAAAACTAGATTATCATTATTAAAATTAAACTTAGATCCAGTCAGGTGTGGTGGCTCACACCTGTAATCCCAGTGCTTTGAAAGGAGAAGGGAGGAGGATCGCTTGAGCCCAGGAGTTCAAGACTAGCCTGGGCAACATAGTGAAACCTCCTATCTAAAAAAATAAAATAAAACATTTTTTAAAAAGTATCTGGACTTGGCCGGGTGCGGTGGCTCAGTCTGTAATCCCAGCACTTTAGGAGGCTGAGGTGAGAGGATTGCCTGAGCCCGGGTGTTTGAGGCCAGACTGGGCAACTTGGTGAGACCTCATCTCTACAATAAATCATAAAAACTAGCCGGGCATGGCAGCGTGCGTCTAAGTTCCAGCTACTTGGAAGGCTGAGGTGGAAGGATCGCCTAAGCCCAGCAGGTCGAGGCTGCGGTGGCCGTGAGCATGCCACTGCACTCTAGCCTGGGCGACAAAGAGTGAGATTCCAAACTCAAAAAAAATAAATAAATAACGTATCTGTGCTTGGTGGTAGCACACCTATAGTCCCAGCTACTCAGGAGGCTGAGATGGGAGGATGGCTTCAGCACAGGAGTTTGAGGGTGCAGTCAGCTATGTTCACGACACTGTACTTCTAGCCTGGGCAACAAAGAAAGACTCTGTCTCAAAAAAAAATTAATTAAAAAAAGAACACAGCCAGGCTCAGTGGCTCAGCCTGTAATCCCGTGCCTTTGGGAGGCTGAGGTGAGTGGATTACCTGAGCCCACGGGTCCGAGACCCACCTGGGCAGGTGAGACCTCATCTCTACAATAAATCAAAAAATTAGCCGGGCGTGGTAGCACGCGCCTGTAGTTCCAGCTACTTGGAAGGCTGAGCGGAAGGATCGCCGGAGCCCAGCAGGTTGAGGCTGCGGTGGCCGGGAGCGGCCACTGCACTCCAGCCTGGGCGACAGAGTGAGACTCCAACTCAAAAAATAAAAATTAAAAAAAAAACAATTAAAAAAATTAAAAAATAAAATAAGAATACTATTTCCACTCACTTTCTTTGTGGAGCTCTTTTCTAAAAAGGAACAGGCTGGTAAACACACGCTTAGTTTTCAGAATTATTTGCTAGGTGATTTGGTTTAGGGAGAACACCCATGGATTTCAAGGACAAGTTCACAATTCAAATGCTGATTCAATTCAATTGAATGAAACAGCTACCCCATGTAATGCACCATCCCTAGCACTAGGTGAAAAATAATCTCATGCCATCTAACAGTGATTCTTCTCTCAGACACCTGAGCAACTGGTCTCATAACTTTGCAAATAATAAGAACAGGAGCTAAACCGGGCAGGGTGGTTCACACCTGTAATCCCAGCACTTTGGGAGGCAGAGGCAGGAGAATTGCCTGAGCCCAGGGGTTCAAGACCACCCTAGGCAACTTGGCAAGAGCTTGTCTCTGCAATAAATCAAAAAAATTAGCCAGGCGTGGTGGTGCGTGCCTATGGTTCCAGCTACAAAGAAGGCTGGCTGAGGCAGAAGGCTCGCCTAAGCCCAGCAGGTCGAGGCTGCGGTGGCCGGGAGTGTGCCACAGCCTAGGCAACAAAGTGAGACTCCGACTCAAAAAAAAAAAAAAAAAAAAGAGCAGGAGCTAACACTTACATGGTGCTTACCAGATACCAAACACAGTTCAAAGCTCTTTCCATATTGACCTTTATACCAACCAAGAAAGAAGTATCATCATGATTCCCATTTTACAGACGAAGAGACTGAGGTTCAGAGTTTTTGTAACTGCCTAGGGTCACACAGTTTTAAAGGACAGCCCTGTCACTCTGGCTTCAGACTCCACTCTTTTACCCCTCACACTGCCATTAACCCAATTCACAAAACAATTCCATGGAATAAAAAGGTAGAAGAGGCTGGGTGTGCAGCTCGTGCCTGTAGTCCCAGCACTTTGGGAAGCCTAGGAGGGAAGAGTTCTTGAGGCCCAGAGTTCAAGACCAGCCTAGGCAACATAGCAAGACCCCATCTTAAAAAATAAAAGAAAGGGTTTTTTTTTTTAAAAGGAAGAATTTTAAAATAGGCGGCACTACTCAGCCCCACTTAGAGCGGGCTGAAGCACAGTGCTGCCCGTTGAGCAGAGCCAGTGCCCATCGGCATGGCGTGGCCCTTACCTGTGGACCACCCCCACCCGGTGGAGGTGTTCTACTGCGGAGATGAGCTGTCTGATGTATCTGCGGGCTTCGGGCTCCTCCAGCCGCTTCTTTTCATAGATCTTGTGCATCAGGTTGCCCCCAGGGCACAGCTCCATGACCAGGTAGTAGCTGTTCTCTGTCTCTAAAATATCCAGGAGCTGCGTGATGTTGGGGTGACGGATCATCTGCTGGATCTGCCCCTCTCGCCGCAGGTTTTTGGTAACGTAGGTGTCCTTTTTGGCTCTCTTTTTATCGATGACTTTTATGGCCACCTAAGGAGAAGCCAAGAACACACCTGTTAGCAGACCTTGCAGGCAAACGTGATTCATGCCCAGCACACGTTGGTTCACATCTGTAATCCCAGCACTGTGGGAGGCGGAGGCCAGAGGACTGCCTGAGCCCAAGGGTTAGAGACCAGCCTGAGCAACTTGGCGAGAACTGTCTCCACAATAAATCAAAAAATTAGCTGGGTGCAGTGGCGCACACCTGGGGTTCCAGCTACTTGGAAGGCTGAGGAAGAAAGATCGCCTGAGCCCAGCAGGTGGAGGCTGTGGGGGTCTTCAGCATGTCATTGCATTCCAGCCTGGAGACAGAGTGAGGCCTCAACTCAAAAAAAAAAAGCAATTCCTTGACTACTCACAAGAGCTCTAGGAAAACCCATAACTGTTTCTCTGCAACAGGAGAAATGCCTTATCTAATATAGCATGGGGGTAAGGGAGAGAAAAATATAGCATCAGGAAAGAATCAAAAGATCCAGTTATTATGGGAGAGAATGAAATTCACTTAAGCAGATCTAAACAGTTGTCTGGAAGGTTCAGAGAAAAGCTAATGCCAAACTTACTTCTTTGCAGGATATGGAGGAAAAACACCAGTTTCTTTTCCAGCAAAGGGCTCTTCCCTGTCCTCCCAGGACTCACCATCACCTCCTCCAGGTCTGGTCCCCCACCCCACTTCTGAAACAGCTAAGTCTGCCCCACAATCTTAGAGGAGCCCTGGGCCCTCCCCTGCCCTGTCTCAGTCCTGCACAGGCCCTCAGGCCTCCAAAATCTCTGGCCTCCAGTGTTTGCCTCCTTCCCTTGATGAATTACCTCCCCAGGTGATCCCTTGGCACAGTCTCAGGACCCAACCTCTGTTGAGACTCCAGGGCCACATCTTCACTCCCCACAGGAAGCACCTCCTGAGTCATTTCCCCCACAATCAACTTGCCATAAGAGGTAGAGGGACACAAGGAAGGCTTTACCACCCAAATCCACATCTGGACCAGGTGCAGTGGCTCACACCTATTAATCCCAGCAATTTGAGAGGCCAAAGCAGGAGGATTGCTTGAACCCAAAAGTCTGAGACCAGCCTAGACCTCGTCTCTGCAAAAAAATACATAGCGGCATGCTCCTGTAGTCCCAGCTACTTGGGAGACTGAGGCAGAAGGATCGTGCGAGCCCAGGAGGTCAAGGCTGTGGTGAGCCATAACCATGCCACTACACTCCAGCCTTGACCTCCAGACCCTTACACGAAAAAGAAAAAAAATCTACATCTGTCCCCCAGCTCTCCCCTTTCCTATGGGTGGAGTCACCTCTGCACTCACCAGCCCCTAAGATGCACCACGAGTTTCAGCCTGTTCTTTCCCTCCACTCCCCTCTCCAACATGACCAGCCACTGACATGATGCCAGTTCCTTCCACCAACTGCCTCCCCTGCCTCTCATTCCTCTCTGTTCCCATGCCACCCGTCTGGCTCATTCCAAAGTTGGCCTTCAGCACCCAGATGTACTCACTCTAAGTGAGACGTGAGCATCCCGTGGAGCCACTGGGTGCAGGGCAAAGACAGTCAACTTTCCACATCTATTTCTTTTTTTTGTAATTGTATTTTGTACCTACTTCACAATGCACTCAATATACACTATATGCGATACAGAGGTATAAGCAGATAGATAAATAAATGCTAGATAGATAAGTAAATAAATACAGGTTAGTACATGTGTGTTGTGAGATGCTCTAACGCTATTTTGTGAACATAGTTGATGATTTAAAAAATAAAGGTCAGGTATGGTGGCTCACACCTGTAATCCCAGCACATTGTGAGGCCAAGGCAAGAGGATCACTTGAGCCCAGGAGTTCAAGACCAGACTGAACAAAATAGAGAGACTTTGTCTCTACAAAAATTTTAAAAATCAGCCAGGCATGGTAGCATGCACCTATCATCCCAGCTACTTGGAAGACTGAGATGGAAGGATTGCCTGAGCCCGGAAGGTCAAGGCTATAGCGAATATGATGGTGCCACTGCACTCCAGCTTGGGCAACAGAGTGAGACTCTGACTTAAAAAAAAAAGTCTAAGATAAGCATGATGAACATAGTTAATGTACTGTATACTTGAAAATGGCCAAGACAGTAGATCTTTTTTTTTTTTTTAGTTGGAGTCTTACTCTGTCGCCCAGTCTGGAGTGCAGTGGCCGCTCCCGGCCACTGCAGCCTCGACTTGCTGGGCTCTTGCGATCCTTCCGCCTCAGCCTTCCAAGTAGCCGGAATTACAGGCATGCGCTACCGGCTGATTTTCTGATTTATTGTAGAGATGAGGTCTCGCCACCCAGGCGGGTCTCTAACTCGTGGGCTCAGGCAATCCACTCACCTCAGCCTCCCAAAGGCGCGGGATTACAGGCTGAGCCACCGAGCCCGGCGACAGTAGATCTTTTTTATGTTTTCTCACCATATACATAACCCAAAAAAATGGTGACACTGTACGATGCTGAATATGCTAAAATGAGCTAGTTTGTAGTGACCATTTCAGTATATTCACATATCAAAACATCATTCTGAACACCCCTAAATAAATGTGATTTTTATCTGTCAATTAAACCTCAATAAAGATGGAAAAAATACCTTAACAAAAAGAAAACAGACCAGGTGTAGTGGTTCACACCTATAATCCTAACACTTTGGGAGTCCAAGGTAGGAGAATCACTGGAGCCCAGGAGTTTGAAACCAGCCTAGGTAATATCACGAGACCTCATCTCTACTAAAAATCAAAAAATGAGCCAGATAGGAAGGCATGTGCCTGTAGTCCCAGCTACTTGGGAGGCTGAGATAGAAGGATTGCTAGAGCTCAAGAGGTCAGGGCTACCACAAACCAAAATCACGCCACTGCATGCCAGCCTGGGCAATAGAATAAGAACCTGTTTTGAAAAAAAAAAAAGTGCAAACCAAAGGCAAAATTTAAATTAAATAAGATAAAGAATAAATAAATAAAGGTCTGGGTGCCCCAGCCTGGACTATTGCACAGACGCTCCCCACCTCCTCCACCCTCCCCCACCCCGCTACCCCTTGCCAGGCTGCCCCTGGCCTTCTGAATTCACACTACGCTCCACCTTAAAATCAAGGGGGCCGGCTCGTGATTTTAATCCCCGTGCCTTTGGGAGGCTGAGGTGAGTGGATTGCCTGAGCCAGCGGGTCCCGCCTGGGCAGCGAGACCTCATCTCTACAACAAATCAAAAGACCAGCCAGGCGTGGTAGCACATGCCTGTAATTCTGGCTACTCAGAAGGCTGAGGTGGAAGGATTGCCGGAGCCCAGCAGGTCGAGGCTGCTGCGGTGGCCGGGAGCAGCCACTGCACTCCAGTCTGGGCGAATAAGTGAGACTCCAACTCAAAAAAAAAAAAAAAATCAAGGGGGTCTGGACTCCAGTTTCTTGCAGCTGCTCTTTGGGGTTCCCTGAGACTGCGGCCTAGCCCCACCACCATCCAGCCTGATTCCCAGCTCTCCCTCCCAGGGGTCTCCCCCTCCCCCAGTCCTCCTGACACACATTTTGTCACTCTCCAAGTACTCCTGCAGCTCCCATTCAAATCACCCTAGTGCCTCAGAGGCTGCCTCAAGCACCGCCTTCCTTCTAGAGAGATTCCCCTAAACCCTCCTTCCCTCCTCCCCTGCACACTCAGCGTCTGTGGCGAGATTTAAGGCACTCGTTGCTTCCGTGGGGCCCATGCCCCTTCATGATACACCGTGCTTTATTTTAAACAGTAAGTGACCATAGGTGACTCACTGATGGGATCATCAAAGCGAAATGGCTGTAAACAGCTTTATCTATGATCTCCTCTGGAGAACAGAGTCTTGTTTTAACAGGGAAGTTTAGGCCCTTAGTCCAAAGATAGGAATAACGGAAGACACAATCAGTCCAGGGGACCCGACAAGCTGAAGGAGGTGCCCGCACCACCTCACAGCTGAGGGCCTGCACCATCCCATGCTGAGAAGATGCTATCAGCCCACCTAAGTTAAAGTTACACTCCAGATGTGCTTGGTCCCACTAGTTCAAGAGATGCTTTATAAACTGTATCCGGCCAGGTGTGGTGGCTCGGTGGCTCATGCCAGCACTTTAGGAGACCGAGGTGGGAGACTACTTGAGCCCAGGAGTTCAAGACCAGCCTGGGCAATACAGTAAGGCCTTGCCTCTACAAAAAATAAAAATAAAAAAATTAGCCAGGCGTGGTGGCACATGCCTGTAGTTCAGGAGGCTGAGGTGGGAGGATCGCTTGAGCTCAGGAATTCGAGGCTGCAATGAGCTGTGATTGTGCCACTGCACTCCAGTCTGGGCAACAGAATGAGACCAAAATAAAAAAATAAACTGTATCCAAATATGCACACACACACACACACACACACACACACACACACACACACACACACTTTCATATCCATCCTCTTGGAGAGGTGAGGAAAAAAGGAGACTGAAAAGTACAATTAGATATTGTCTTTGCTTGACTCTGTGTTGCAATGTTAAAAAAATTACACCCTTCAGCAATGAAATTCTTAAAAGTACTATGAATAAACAATAGCCTAAAAGTCCAGCAATAATACACTCAACCTGCTTTTAAAAAAACAGAAAATACAATTATTGTTAAGATTATTTATTTAGCTCTTTAAATGTCTGTACTAGGTTTAATAATGGCTACCCAAAGATATTAAACCCTAATCCTCAAATCTCGTAAAAGTGACTTTATTTGGAAAAAGGATCTCTGCAGATAAGACGACCTGGATTATATGGGTAGGTCCTAAACATCCTCACAATAGAGGCAGAGGGAACTTCTACACAAATATACAGAGGGGACGGTCATGGCAAGAAAAAGGCGAGATTGGAGTGATGGGGCCACAAGCTCTGGCAGCTACCAGAAGCTGAATGAGGCAAGGGAGAATCCTCCATAGAGGTTTTGGAGGGAGCATAGCCAGGCCAATACTTTGATTTTAGACTTCTGGCCTCCAGAGCTGTGAGAGAATTAATGTGTTACTTTAAGCCACCAAGGGTATGGCAATTTGCTACAGCAGCCATAAGAAACGAATACCTTGTCTGAACAAAAGAGAAAGGCATCTCTCCGCTGCCCCTCTGGGATACATTCCCAGGCACTATGAATTTTGATATCTGCCACCTGTCATCTGCCTCTATCTGTGCTCCTCACTGTCCCCTCATTGCAGTCTCAGGGGCTTCTAACAATTTCTAACGGACCCCAACCTCCCCTCTGCTCCCCTCATGCCCATGTGACCCACAGGGAAGAGAGTCATCAGGCACTCCCTCCCCGGCCCCACTCCCAGGGCTGAACCAGCCCACGCCAGGTTTTTGTACCTCCAAGAGTTTTGCCAAAGTAGGACTCCATGGGTCAGGCACAGTGGCTCACTCCTACAATCCCAGCACTTTGAGAGACTGAGGAGGAGGAAGGATCGCTTGAGCCCAGGAGTTCAAGACCAGCCAGGAAACACAGTGAGACCTCGTCTCTATAAAAATTTCAAAAATTGACCAGACATAGTGGTGGCGTGAGCCTAGTGCCAGTTACTCTGGAGGCTGAGGTGGAAGGATCACCTGCACCCAGAAGATTGAGGCTGTAGTAAGCTGTGATTGTGCCACTGCACTGCAGTTTGGGCAGTAAAGTGAAACCCCCAAAAAAGTAAGCCCCCATGAAGCTCCAGTAATTGGTCCACACATATCTACACTGCAGACCCTTCTGAACAGAAAGGAAGGTAGAGAAGACTCTCACAGGAGGTTGAACCATCCTTATCATAGCCATATGATTATCACAATCATAACAATTAGTGCTTAGTTCCAATACTACCAGTTATGAGTATACACTAGGTACTCCCTGGCTAGTTCTTCCTGTACTCTCCTTCTGAGCAGATGTAGTATTTCCAAACACTTCTCCTTGTTTCTTTCACTT